AAGTCCTGGGTTAGACCTTCACCAGTGGTTTCATGGGCGCGCACTGCTAAGTAACTACTTAATAAGGAGAAACAGTTGTTCAGAGCTTTCTGGTTTTCAATGAATGTATGGATTAGGTTGATCCAGGATACTAATAAGATAATACTTTATAACTTATCTCAGTATTAATAATGAAGTATTTAATGTTGTTTTTTTTAGCTCTCTGTGCTATTTATACAAGAAACTACGTTGCCTGTTCTAAAGCTTTTATAAAACTAGAAAATTTAACCGATATCTCACCAACTGAACAGAAAGAAATTAAAGAGTTAACTCTAGATCTATTTTCCAGGTAGGTATTATGCAGGATATGATTGTGTTTCAGATAAGTTTGCTTGTTATAAATCCATATATAATATTTCATGAATTATGTCAGTTGATTATAACGTATGGAGAGGTAAATATGATTTAAGAATCTTGTATGAAAGCTAACTTTGAATCTTCAGATTGTAAGCAGTCATCCACTGAATTCCGTTTAGAGAATCCTTGATTTATTTAAGATGTCAGGTAAAATTAACTAAACAAAAGAACAACTTATGTAGTTGAAAGCAAAGATACATAGTGGCTAGCAGTGGAATCCAGGACGTGCGTTTCATCCTATTTGGTACTCGTTAGCTGGATGTACTTGCATCTCAGAGTTGATGTTCACTCTGGGACTCTGAAGCGAAAGGTACTGGGTTCGAGTCCCAGAGTGAACATCAACTCTGAGATGCAGGTACATCCAGCTGATGAGTCCCAAATAGGACGAAATGCGCGTCAAACTGGATTCCACTGCTAGCTACTATCCATCTTTGCTTATAAAGCTTGTGACTTCAGGCAATATTGAGACAGTCCGCTAAGGATGTACATGTGCAAATAAGAGACTGATCAATTGCAGTCCTAAACATCAATAGGAAGATTCAAACAAGTAATACTAAGTGAATTTAAATTTATGTAGTTGTTTTAAAAGCTTTGCTACTTAGAATGTCAGTTTATGATGAAAACTGTTTCAAAAAATCGTAGACTCTTGACAAGTTTTCTGACTAGACATAAAAATGACTGTTTTACCCTTATGTCTTTCTGGTAGACATCAACCTATAAACGAACAAGATACATTGGAATCTTCTGAAATGGATTCAATGTTGGAAAGGTAAGAGAAGTTACTCAAACTACTTAATGCTATTTCATGTTTGTTTGTGATCCAGATACTCCTTCTCACTACTGCTATTTGTTTTGAATAGTTAAACATAATTTGTAGCAACTCTTACTTTATACGGGAAATCTTTTCTGTTTATATCAGTAAATTATATTATAATGAATACGGAAGACATACTGGTTTTTAGTCATGATTAGTTTGATAACGAAAAGAATATCACTTATAAAGGGAAGAGATATGAGAGTAAACTGCTTGGAAAGATATGATTCCTGAATTGCTTTGAAAGAGTATTTACCACAGGGAATAAAATAATGTGGAGCAAAAAGAAATAATAGAAACTACTGTTTCCTCAATAAACTGAAACGTCGATTTCAAGAATGGATAATACAGCGAAGAGCGATTCTTGTGTCGTTATAATGTGCTTATAATCATTCATAACTAGAGAGAACATGATTGAAACAGAGTGAATGGAACAAAAACAGCAAAAATTACTATGCTAAGTCTGTTGTCATAAATGCTAAATTGTTTTGTTTTATTTAAACTAGCCAAATTAACGAGGTCAGTGTAAGGGTAGAATCTAGTTCAAATTGCTTTAAGAAAATTTAGAGTTTATTCTTTAATTTTCTTTAAAAAACTGCTCTACATATTCTTTTCACTGTAGGTTAAATTAGATACTCGAGACAATTTACATTGATTTCAGCTTATAGTTATTATTATTTAAACATATAAATATTGGTACAAGGAAGCACCAGATATATATGCGCCACACAAATCTTATTCGATTTATGTGAGGGCTGTGGCTAACGATTGATTCATACGCCATTTGTTCCCTCAAGATACTTGAGCCCATCTGCATCATTGGTGTGAAATTAGGGTTTTCCAACTCCCCTAGGTGGACTTTCTGTGTCCACCAACCCGGTTAAAGCGTCGGACATTCGCTTTTCATCCTCTCAATTTCGTACACAATACCCCCGCCACGAGAAGGTAGCGAGTTGGACTTCCCTGGCAGAGGCTATATACGCGTGGGCATGTGAGAGCATTTGGAGAGGGAGAGCGGACTCTCCCCACTCTCGGTCGTACCAGGGCATTTGGGGGCCAGCTTAAATGAACGACTTATTTGAAGAAAATAGTGAATTGTCATAATGATCGTGTTCATATATTCTTTGGCACTCTTGAATTTAAATGACATGTGATGTAACTGGCATATAGCTCGTAGTCTGATAATGTATGATTGGCTTTATAGTGAATAATCACTTTCATACAACAAACTTGTCAAAAACTGAGTTGAAGATCAATATTTCTGTTCTTCAACATCTTACCAACAGCTATATATATATATATATATATATATATGATCCCTTAGTTAGTTAAAATCAACATAGGTTACTGCACAGATGTGCAACAGTTCAAAATTTCGCATATCCACATAACTAGATTGAATTAACAAGATGAAATAAGTTGAGTAATGGTAATATCAGTGATAGTAAGGAAGACAAACGTAGGGAATATTGGTCAAAAATAAAGAATGGAAAGTGTGAAATAATGTTGAGATTAAAGACTTAAGGGAAGACTTAAAGAAGTTAGCACTGACGCATTGCATTTTAGCTTTGTTCTAGAATGCTTATCTTTACCTGCAACAAGATTCTGTTTCAATAAAATAGATGCTTTTTCTATAATGCTTTTAGTATACAGTACAATAGTAATGTATTTCCTGTCTACTAATAAATATTACATTGCTAATAAAGACGGACTTCGACATAGAAACCTAACCTTTCCATTATACTTTTTTACCTAAAATTTTAGTGAGACAAAAATTCCTATATGTGTAGTCACTGGTCAACCAATCACAGATTATCAATTTTGGATGTGTCCAACATGTAAACATTGTGCTTATGAAAATGAAATAACAAAATTGCACAATTGTCCTTTATGTCATTTCCCTGTTCAGTAAATATTAAGTATATTTTATTTGAAAATACATCGTATCTTGAAAAGAGAACTTTTATTAAATTTTGATTTTGGGACGTTGTTTGTTTACCCAGTACAGAATTGTGTACTTAGTTTTGAGTTATAATTTTATATGTGTAGATTAATGATAATATTTGGCTGTCTCATCGAATTCGGGTTGGAATTGAACCTTCAATCTAATGATTGAAAGTTGGATATCTTAGCCATTGGGTGCACAATGCAATAATTTATAGATTGATTGTCATATTGAAATAAAATCTGATTTATTGCATCTGTACAAGATACTGTATGAATTGAAACAACACCCTGCCAGCTAGATAACCGACCAGCTGTATTCCTACCTTTCTGGGAGAGAATAGTAAACTGTGCTAGGAGGAAAATGTTCAACGTCTCTATTATCTAAAGATGTGTCAGAAAGACCTGTTCTTTCCTCCTTTCTCTGTATTATTTGCCATCTTTCACAGAAAACATTTTTATTAGGTTTGAGGATGCTCTCAGTGTATGTACACCGTTTTCTACCTTTTCATATCTTTTTTGGAATAAGTGAGTTATTGTCTCTCATTGAACGACGGTCTGATTTTAATGGCTGAAGAGTAGTGTACACTTCATGCAACGACATATCACGTTAAATATTATTTAGGGATCACAATTAAGATTTCCATTAATTACGTGTTAATTTAATTTACTAGATTTGATTGAATACAGCGGACTTTTCATTTACTCAGCAAAAAACAAATTCTAAATAAATTAACATATCTGTTATTGTAAACGGACAGTTTTAAAATTGACTTCTTCCTGGAATATTTTCCTAACTTATAAAGCATAACCAACCAAATGAATTCATATTCATGTATTCTTCTTATAGGTACACATCAGATGTAAATGTTTGTGACACTATGTGGTTTCTTCATACTCTCTTGAGTCATTTAATAGCACTATGTCATAGATAGAAATACCGAACATCAAACTATCTCTGTCTAGCATGTTGAATAACTATGAACTAAAGTGAAACGTATAATAAGTGATTATAGACTAGTTGTGTTTAAAAGCAATTCATATATTGCACAAAATCAGACAGATAAGCATGCCACACAGAAGATGAGATATAAATGTATGTGAATTATAAAACTAACCAAAGTCAGTACTACTTATTTGTCTTCACAAGTCCAACAACTTATAAATATATACATGACGTGTAGACATATATATAAAGTTTCGTACCCTTTCCTTTTTATTATGACAATTAGGTTAGTTAGAAGTAGGAAAGTGATTTACTAATTCAATCGGACCACTGAACATTTTAGATACTATATATTTCCTTGATACGAAATTCAATAAGAGTGATTTCATTTAAATTAACCCAGTAAAACAATATATTTAGAAAAGAGAGATGTTATTTATTTATTTAGAAAGAAATTATTGTACAGCTTTACAATATTATTAGGATTTAGCGATTGTTATTGAACGCTGTACTCGGATCCTAAGCTAGTCTCGTAACACCCAAGATAGAACTACACAGCGACTTGAACACAAGAGAAAAGGCGCAAAATATACGAGAAGCACTTTACTCCAAAGGTTCATTTATGTACAAAAAATATAGGGTTTTTATACTGTTTCAGAAATCCTTGGGTTTTCCTGAAAATTCTAGAATACTACAAAACATAGTAGTAGTGTAGTAACCAGCCAATTAGAACCTCGACACGCAACTTTTTATTTTCGCGATATTTCTAGCAAAACTTCCAATCAAACGCTGATTGCATAAAATGCTTCTTGATGTTTCCTGAACTTGTCATATCTATGGTGAGAAATTTTCAGGATCATCTCAACAATATACGTATATATATAAATAATAAATAGTGTTTTACAAATTAGGTATTAAAAATGAATAATTGTCTAATCTATGATGAATTTCTTTCATTAAACAATATGTATCATGTTGAAATATATGTAGTCCACGACTAGTTAAAACTGCTAATGATAGAGGACCTTCACCAATTAGATCTAAAGCAGGTGATATACAAAATACTGGACCAGGAAGTGAACGTTGAAATTTTAATCTACAAAAAATATAAAGAGAACACCTTATAATGAATTGTTTAATTATCTAATATGATACATATACCTAGTAGTTATTTTCAACAACTTGAAAATTAAAGTCGATGCCATACAGTTGTTTGAAATTACAATTTGTCTGGTTGTTACTGAATTCATTGGAGTCAATGTGAAAAAACTAATGAATCTTAAAAATTGTTTCGATCACTCTTTATACATGTGTAATATTGAGAACGAAGACAAATATATATATATATATATATATATATATGTCGGAGACTACAGCAATTAGTAAAATTTGGACAACGATATACGACAGATGGGAATTCGGCTTTGCAGACTTATCAGTTGGCGGAATCCACAGATGTCACAATTCGATTAGACAGTCGAATGCAGTCATTATTCTATTTAGGAAATGAAGAAGAGATCCTATCAACATATTACATTGAAGATAAGGCCGCAGTGATCTAAATTTTTAAATTGCACTGAAACATCCTCAGTTCCATTAGGGAAGACTTTCTAAAAAAAAGTATACGATAACTGGTTGTCATAGGAGCTTTAGCCACCTTACCGGAAATTCACGAATGTTCAAAAGAAGGCTAAGTCTAGATGAATTGAAACTCGAACATAATAGCTTCAGAGTAATAGTACATAATAAAACTGGTCATTTACGATTATTGAAACAGATCAACAATCAACTGTTCACGAGGAATAGCGCACAATTTGAATTAGAAAACTTATACATACTAGATCACGTAATCAAAGAATGTAAGCAACATTTACACATGGATCACGTTAATTATCGTCCTTTGATGCTCGTTCGTGATTTATAATATTTAGTCAGCTAATCAGTAGGACTATTTTACTAAGATACAATCACTGATCATTTGTGTTTCCATTTACTAACTTAAACTAATTATTTTAAAAAGCATAGAGCATAAGGCTAACTGGTTTCAAATTAGCTACTTCTAAAACTCTTTAACTCTATCATTGTTGGGCATAGGTAGTTTGATTCGTTTCGTTAAACTTTATGGAGCATAGACGTTTTTCACTGAGAATCTAAAAACAGTATTAAAATAAGTAACAAACTTTCTAAAATCCGTGGAATATATATATATACATATATATATTGATTGAATAGATTTTGTGAGTTCAGGTAAAATAAATTTATGAATACCTTATCATAATTGTATCCAGATGAGTGATGGGTATTCATAGCATTTATGACGCTTTCTCCGAAACGATTAATTTAAACGTCAAAAACTATCAACTTATGATAAGTTATAGGTCACCAATGAGATTAATTATAACGATACTAACTAACATTTAAATATTACATGGGATGCAGTTTGTAACCGTGGTTCACTTGATCAACTTTGTAGTGTTTGAACTAATGAATAACAGCTCTATGCATTAATAAATGTTGATTAAGTGTTCGGTAGCAGTAGTAGGTAGAAGGTAGTAGTGTTAGGCTGTTTAAACGAATGCTGTAAGCTACTGGTTTAAAGATTAGTTCTCTAATCATCAAACACCGGTGGTGCTTAATGGAAATTTTACAAATTTTAAATAATCCTTTTGGAATACGAATATGGAACATATATAGAGTAAAAAGAAAAATACCACAAGTCCCGAGGCCCCCAAATGCCCTGATACGGCCGAGAGTGTGGAGAATCCGCTCTCCCTCTCGAAATACTCTCACATGGCCACGCGAATATATAGCCTCTACCAGGGAAGTCCTACTCACTGCCTTCTCTCACCATTACCGTTGTTTACGAAATTAAGAGGAGAAAAAGCAAATGTCCAATGCTTTAACCGGGTTGGTGGACACGGAGAGTCAGCCTATGGGAGTTGGAAAACCCTGATTCCAAACCAATGGTGTACATGGCTCCAGTATCCTGAGGGAACAAATGGCGTACGAATCAACCGTTGGTCACCGGCTACCATGAGACTGCATCTCCTCACGATGCTCCACTGCCTCGTGGATCAGACATTCAGGTCAAAGGCTTGGTGTGTGGCCCCCTAAGGAAACCACCTGTTTCAGTCTGGGCACCTGGGCAGTATCACAGCCCTCACACAAATCGAATGAGATTTGTGTGGCACATATGTATCTGGTGCATCCTTGTACCAATATTTATGTGTTTAAATAAATAAATAAATAAAAAGAAAACGAAATATATTACATGAATTGTCCATTTTTTGAATCTGTATTATACGATTCCCATTCATAATAAAGTAATCGTTGTCCAAAAGTTCCAAGTATAATTTCATTTTTACCATCTAAATTGAAATCATCAACTGAAGCACAATTGACATGATCAAAATCTGTGCTAAATGGTAAGATTAATTGATTTTTTACACTGAAGCCGTTGTTTTTGAAGATATTACTAAAATGATAATAAAATCCATACATTAATTACTCTATATGATACTGAATAATGTGTAATATGAATAGCTGAAATCGCTTTGTATTAATAAAGTCTGTTTAGCTCCAAACCAAAGCAACCACTAGTGATTAAACTTAAGATGAATTCTTAACATTCTAGTAAGAAATTATAACTGATGAAGTTTGACTATAATATTGGTAAGACAGATAGATTTTTTTGGACAAAGATAAAATATAAATTCACTTAGCATTGTTTGTTTGAATCTTCCTATTGATGTGTTAGGACTGTAACTGGTCAGTATCTAATTGGCATATGTGCATACTGTGCGTATTGCCTCGATATAGCCTTAATTCACAATCATGGTAAGCAAAGATGGATAGTGGCTAGCAGTGGAATCCAGTTTGACGCGCATTTCGTCCTATTTGAGACTCATCAACTGGATATACCTGCATTTCAGAGTTGATGTTCACTCTGGGACTCGAACCCAGTACCTTTCGCTTCAAACGTCATCGCGTTATCCACTCGGTCACTGAGTCCTGATAGCCACTTGCTTGTACAATGGTGTGAAGTTTAAATTCACTTAGTATTGTTTGTTTGAATCTTCCTATTGATAAAATATGATCTCACAAAACTCAAATTCCATGGTAGGAAAAATTACAGGTTCATACTTACAGAGCAGTTTATAAGTTGTACAGATTTTAAAAGACAAACTTTTAAGTAATGACAAAACTATTTCTGAAATAATTAGTCAATTTAGAAAATGCAAACAAAAAGACTTTCGTCTAGTCAGTGGTTTTAGTATTTAACTTAACAATTTCCTGGAGAACAATATCATCACAGACTCGTGCACGACAATCTAAGGTAGAATACATACTCGTGGTTTTTCACTTCCCTGAAAATCTAAACAGTAGAAGTTAAAATTGAAGTCAATAAGTCATCCTTATCATTCCCTCCCCCAATATATTCAGATATAATAAACATGTAAAATATGTGTTGTAATGGTTGATTAGTTTCAAATAGTAAGAGAAAAGAAACTGAGATTAGGGAATAAGAAGCAAAGTATGAAAATAAATAATAGAGACCACTACTGTGACACCATGTTAATACTCAATCCTATCAGTAATTCATACAGCGAACAGCTGAAAAAATGTGTAAGAGACTTTATGGGTGTTTGATGGATAGTGACAATAACCACTTTTCCGAAATGAAGCAGGTGAAATAGGCTTTGAATTTGCCTCAAGACTATCTAATATTAAGTAAGGTTTTCATAAAAAGTTAGTATCTATAAGATAAGTTAGCAATTAGAGAAATGGTTCAAATGTAAATATGATTAAACCAATAAACAAACCTCCTGAAATTCCGTATTATAACTATGCTACTCACACGTAAATAGTTTATATCATGTACCTCTTTTCCATATACTTCATTAGTTAGTCGTAAACTAGCATTTATTTTTACCATACTGTTTAACCATACTGTTATATATGTATTTTGCTAATAAACGACCCAGCTACTCCTGTTGCTTAGTATTCTTATACAATGACACTTGACAAGACCCCAAAATCAGAACACGTTGAACAGGAATGAAATTGTATTCAAAATAACACTGGTGAATGAACAACAATCGTTGATTTGAATAACGTTCATATATTTATAGTATATACATAAGAAGCTTCTAGATTTTTCTCCAATAATTTGCCAGGGCTGATCGGTTTAGAATTAGCCAATCAGCGCGCAGCAACACCATCATACATGCAACATGTCTTAATCCAATCTATATCCCGCTAACACATATTGAAGTGGTACGTTTCTGCACTTGTCTGTACTGAAAGCTCACTGTTATTGTCGAGTCTATTGTCATCAATGTGAGCTTTAATTTGCGTCGATTATCATTTAATGTAGAGACATTAATTATTTGTATATATTCGTACATTATTATTTCGAGGAGCCAAGATAATCTTTTTAATTAAAATGACTTCGGGTGCTTCATCCCGATGGTTCTGATAAATCTGTACGTGTATTACATAGAATGTGAAGTTGACAATTTCTTTTAAAAAATTGATCCGAGTAAAAGTTGAAGAGTATACACACTAATAACTAAAAGATATATGTGATAATTTATGTGTAAATACGATGCTGGAAATTTGCATACTTACCAATAAACAACAGTTGGCTCAAATGCCGAGCACACCAAACAGTTAACATCTTTCTTGAGAATAGACACATCTGTTGTGAAATCAGAGAAGAGAGAGGAAGAGACTGACATAAATGAGTTACAGACATAGCAAATTTAAGAAGTTAATAGATGATAACATCAATGTAAAATAAATATAAAAATAAGACTAAAATTACCATATTTTACTGATGAATGAATTCTCAAGCAGTTTGTGGTTTCCGGTTAAGCAGTTATCGATAACACTTGACTAATGCTTTGTTATAATTTATTAGTAAATTATTATCAGATACAGATTTGTGCACACGGCTTCGAGGCACAGTCGTCAAACACTAATAATACTATCCAGTTGTGAGGCGGGGTTTTAAATCAAAATTAATTGATAACTAATTTTATGACCAGAAAAGATAGCCTTAAGAAATTACATGAAATGCAAAAGTTAGTAGTATATAACCTGATAACCACATGAGTTATTTAGAGAAACGTTTACTATCACAATTAGCAAAATGTTCCCCTATGCAACACTATTTGTCAAAAATGAAGTCTTGTAAAGCAGTTATTCTAAACTTCACCATAAGTTAAGAAAAATACTCTTAATACCCGTACCCCACAAAGCAGTAGATATTTTCAGGTCAAAGTAACTAACCGCTTAGTGGCTAAGACGTTCGACTTTCAACCACTGAGTCAGAGGTTTGAACCCCGCCCCACCAAATTCTGTTTGAACAACCGGTAAGTACCAATAGCCTTCACATTTAGAGCGTAGCTCATACCTGAGTATCCAGTGAAAGAGATAATTTCGATTAATCGCAATACATATATTTACTAAATACCATAATATCAATAATTTTAAAACTAATTCGCAGAGAAAGGATAAATGTATCATACACCTGACATGCATTGTTCAAATATGTGATATCAAAATAGATATTTGGTAGAATTTGGGGTAAAATTACGCTATAATAAGTCTTGAATTAACCAATCAAAATTAAGATGGAACCTCGTGGCTTTTCGCGCGATTGAAAGCGCAGTGCTAAATAGCGTGTACGTTATCACTAAGTGGAGATCCAGAATAATTGGTTCCTGAAATGCTTGAAATTTATACGAAAAAAATATCTACCACAAAACCAAACAGTGAATATAACATGATGCCTAAATTAAATTACAAGAAGTACCTAATGTGATTTGGTACAGCCATTGGTTTTTGTGCAGCTAGTGTTCTCCCACTCTGATTCCTGACTTGAAATATCAACTCTAAGTTGCATATGCTCTGTACTCTCTAAGTCCAACTTACTTTTACAAGAATGGCAGGGGCCTATCCTTGCACTCACTCTCCACATTGACCAGTTAGAAGTGGACAAGTGTAAGTGGTGTGATCAATTCATGTATAATGAGAGCCAGAGCGGCTTACGCCAATCTGAGCCATCTCTGGTGCCTTCGCAATGTCGTTTTGGCTGTGAAAGATCGGACCTCCAACGCGTCGGTGTGAGCAGTTTTCCTCTATGCCTGGGATACCTGGCCTTTCAGATTTGAGAATGTTAGACAATCCTCTGTATTCAGGATGCGATTCTCCCCCTCGAAATGTAAAATGTTACTTCAGGATTGGGTTGCATCGGCACCTGAACTAATGATAGGGAGTGAAGTAGTTGAGTGTGTCGACCGCTTCACTTAGCTTGGGAGTCTCATCAGCCCTTGCGGTTTGGTGTGTGACGAAATCTCAGCACGGATACAGAAGGCTCGTCTAGCTTTCGCCAACTTGCATCATTTATGGCGTACGCGAGATATCCGTCTATCAGTTAAGAGATGAGTATACTGCGCAGCAGTTCGCTCTGCTTTACTTTATGTTAATGAAACGTGCTCGGTGATCGGATGCTATATCAGCTCCTCTTCTGGTTCTCACATCCTCCATCGTCCTCCTGAACTTTTTGTTGATGCAGACATGGTCGATTTGATTTTGTGTAGTGTGATCCGGTGAAATCCAAGTGGCTTTGTGTATGTTTTTGTGTGGGAATATGGTGCCACCTATGACCAGTTTATTGAAGGCACATAGGTTTGCAAATCTCTCACCGTTTTCGTTCCTTTCTCCCAGTCCATGTCGTCCCATGACGTCTTCGTATCCAGTGTTGTCCTTTCCAACCTTGGCATTGAAATCTCCCATTAGAATGGTCAGGTCCTTGGTTGGGCACTTCTCGAAGATTGACTGCAGCCTATCGTAGAATTGGTCTTTAGCGTCTTCATCGTAGTCGTTGGTCGGCGCATAGCATTGGATGATGTTCATTGTAATGCCCTCTCTCTTTGTTCTGAAGGAGGCTTTGATGATCCTCGGTCCATGAGATTCCCATTCTATAAGTGCATTTTGTGCTTTTCTAGACAGCATCAGTGCCACTCCTTGTGTATGTGGGGCATTTTCTTCTTCATGACCGGAGTATAAAAGAAGTTCCCCTGAAGACAGTCGTTGTTGTCCAACCTGCGTCCAATGTGTTTCACTGATTCCAAGCACTTCCAGGTTGTATTTCCTCATTTCCGCAGAAATTTGGAAGACTCTGCCAGTCTCCCACATTGTCCGGACATTCCATGTACCTATAAAAATTGTCGCTCTGGTTGTAAGAAGGTGCATCGGCCTCATGACTTCCGAATGAACTCGGCTTTCATCATGAGACGTCATTTTTCCTTCTACTCCCAGGGCAGAGTTTGAATGGTTTGAATGATTTTTTCTGGTTAGCGTTTTTTTAGCGAGTTGATTTTCTACGGGATGGGGTCGCTAACCCCATGCCCAACCCTCCTCCTTTACCCGGGCTTGGGACCGGCAGTAGCCCCTGGAGGAGCTACAGGCGGAGTTAGAGGATATTCATAGGTTACTAGTATTCGATCATAGGTGTCTCCGAAGCATTGCTCGTATATCCTGAGACCACCGAATAAGCAATTCAGCCGTTAGGAAACGGGTACTAGGTAAGAAAGGCAAATCGATTGATGAAGTAGTGAAACTTCATCAGTTGAGATGACTAGGACTGGTGCTACGTATGCCCAACCACCGATTGCCCCGACGTGCGATGTTTTATGGTGTAGGAGTAGGTTGGAAGAAAGCCAGGGGCGGCCAGACCAAAACGTGGCATAAATCCATGAAGTCACTGACAAGTGGACTGAGCCATGTTGGTAGGTGTAGACTACCTGGTTGAGATGATAGCAATCGATGGTTAGAGACCTTGAATGACATGGCTCAAAATCGTTTGCAGTGGCGCAGGTGCATCCACTATTTGTGCTCTTCCAAATTCTAATCTTCTGAATTCTTCATGTCTCGATCGTTTTTTCTTTCCAAATTTATTTCACTGTATTATACTCCTTGAATAACATCTTCAACCCCTAAATCTTTCACATTAATGCTTATATTCTTACTATTTCTACCACTATGGGATTTGAATCAACAAGTTTATCTCTGTATTATTGTGGCATGGCGACTCGAACTGATGTACGTACGTACGAAGTTCTACGTTGTGACTGACTGACATTTTACGCTGGGGATTTCAAATTTTACTAAAAATATAACACCAGATAAGGGGATAAGGACTTTTATTTAACAGTAAAACCAGTTAGATTTTAAAATAATAAATAAATAAATTACTTTCATTATCTTTGATCACTTCTTCCGAAGACGAATCAAACCCATTAAACTGTTGAAATATTTTAATGGATGTGATTGGTGATTCATGAGATAAATGGAAATGTCGTATAATTCCTGATTGGATAACAAAAAACACCATACAAATATAAGCAATAAATAGTACACTTAGAAAGAAAACATTGGATTTATACAAACAATTGAGGGGTAAATTGGATTTTAATAGTTTTATTTAGCCGACTTTCAGAGAATAGGATAAGTTAATTCAAACATTTCCATACATTTATATTCAGTCAGTTGAAAACCCAGTAACAAATAAATTGAAGTGTATAAAGCTACAAAGTAATGAACTTATTAAATTAGTTATAACTGATACAGACTATTCGACAACACTTAATACATTGGATATTCAAATGCCGCTCATATAAAAGGAAACTTTTCGTCAGACAAGATGTAGCGATTGGATATGTAGGATACACTGCTCAGCTATAATAACTACATTGGGAATAAAGACAGCTCTAGTGGGGGTGTTAGCGTGAAATAAACCGGATTAAGGCATGTTTTGTGCATGATCGTGATGGCGCACGCTGATTGGCTAATTATACACCAATCAGCTCTGTAAAATTATTGGAGAAAACATTAAGAAGCTTCTTGTGCATATACTATGAACATATGAACGTTTTTCTAACCAGTGATTGCTGCTCATTATCCTTGTTCTTTTTAATACAATTTCGTTCCTGTTCAACGTGTTCTGGTTTTGCGGTCTTGTTGAGTGTCATTGTAGAAGAATGCTAAGCAATAGGAGTAGTTGGGTCGTTTATTAGCAAAACAATTATAACAGGGGGAAAAAGTTATCAATTATATAATACAAATTTACAAATATGGTACATAAACATGTAATTAAACATTTTAGGCAAATATAAAATAGAACATACTACGAGATTTCATATCCACAGAGAATAAACCAAACCATCCATCTTGTGAGCCAAAAGCTGAAAACCGTATATTATTTATAATTTTAAAATCCATATGTAGGAAACTGGGGTGAAAAATTAAATAAGGAATGTGAAAACCTCAATTAAAAACAAATGAAATTAAAATTAAATGTAAATTAGATCGTAGTTTAAACAAACATTTGGTCAAAGGAAATGGAACAAGGAAACTTAAATAGTTAATTAAAAGTTACTATTTAATGCACCGACTATTTAGAAGTGACGTATGCGTAGAAACAATTGTGCTGAAGTTATGTAAAATAATTTAAAGAACGTTCAACGCAGGAAAATTACAACTACTGTTTTCTATACATTTGATTGTGATACCGAGACTGAGAGACAAATTACGTGAACTAGTCACCTAATTGCCCCCAAATGCCCTGGTATGGCCGAGAATGGGGAGAGTCACCTCTCCCTCTCGAAATGCTCTCACATGGCCAGCGAATATATAGCCTCTGACAGGGATGTCCTACTCACTGCCTCCTCGTGGCGGGGGTGTTGTTCACAAAAGTGAAAGGACGAAAAGCAAATGCCCGGCGCTTTAACCGGGTTGGTGGACACGGAAAGTTCACCTAGGGGAGTTGGAAAACCCTGATTCCAAACCAATGGTGTACATGTGCTCCAGTATCCTGAGGGAACAAATGGCGTATGAACCAATTGTTGGTCACCGGCTACCATGAGACTGCATCTCCTCACGATGCTCCACTGCCTTGTGGATCAGACCTTTAGGTTAAAGGCTTGGTGTGTGGCCCCCTAAGAATACCACCTGCTTCAGTCTGGGCACCTGGGTAGTATCACAGCCCTCACAGAAATCAAATTAGATTTGTGCGGCGTATATGTATCTGGTGCTTCCTTGTACCAATATTTATGTGTTTAAATAAATAAATAATAAAGTCACTTAATTTGTATTTATTAATTCAACTACTAATTTGGAACCATTTATGTCGGTTAATATATTTTCGTTCTTCATGCTCATGAACACTTTCTAGCATGGCTAGGCAAAGGTGCAACTAAAACTGTCAACAGTTCTACCACATCCTATATAATTCAAACGTGTTAATCGTTTGTAGTATTGTATCTCAATGGTAATTGTCTGCCAAAATCTGTTTGACTCAGAGCCTTCCAAACAACAGAAATAATAATTATTCGAATTAGAGTGTCGGAGATTTATATGTAGAAGAAATATGAATTCACACCCTTTTCTCATCTCATTTAACTTTAGGTCTAGTAAATCAATAGTTAGCGTAATCATATGATGATCTCATTTAAATAATGTACGAACAAGCTCCTCCTTTGTGCTTGCTTATCTTAAATTCTCATAGTTAAAATCATGAGTCAACTGAAGCTAGACCCCCATGGAAAACCTGGAAGCATTGGACGGCTGTTTCGTCCTATTATAGCACTCCTCAGCAGTGCGCATCCACGATCCCGCACTCGCGAAATTCGAACCAAGGACCTACCAGTCTCACGCCAGAGCACTTAAGTGAAAGATCACTGAACCGGCCGGAATCCAACGGTGTTAATGTCTAACCTCAACCAATCCACAATTTTGAGCAACCGTTCACCAATTGTCTTCAGTGAGTTGATATCTCTACAACAGACTCGGCAGAACTCCACTGGTCAATGCTTCCCACTAGAACTCAAGGAAATATCTCTTGAAGTCAGTCACTAGTGAGCATATGATTATAGATCAGAAGGGGTTTTGTGGAGAATTTAGTATTTTCATAGTCGAAATCATGAGTCAATTGAAGCTAGACCACCATGGAAAACCTGGAAGCACTGGGCGGCCGTTTCGTACTATTATGGGACTTCTCAGCAGTGCGCATCCAATTGACTCATGATGTCAACTATGAAAATACTAAATTCTCCACAAAACCCCTTCTGATCTATCTTAAATTCATCTTGCTCAAATATTATTATCATTATTACTGCTCTTTTCAGCCAATAGAAAATTCAAATACCATAAACCCGATAAAGCCACTGATATGAATTCATATCAAAATCGCACAACACGTAATTGGATCGAAACTACCAGTAACCAAATAATTCAAGAATCTTTAAAAATTAGATTAAAACTCATATCCGTTGAACGAGTGATTATCTAGACTTTGTAGCTAGATGGATAATGCATTGGACGTTTGATGTGGAGAGTTTTCGGTTCAAATTCCAGTGCAGTCATAGACACCGGAATGCAAATAAATCCATCTGACGAATCCCGAATAGGATGAAATGAACGTCCTGGATCTAACTACTAATCAGATCCCATTTATACAATAAAAACACATTATTTCATCTCCTGTTATCTATATCTGTTCTAATTATTAATCTCATAATTTCATTGATTCTAACAATACACAGTATATAACTGAAGATTAACAATTCTATTTCATACCACTAGTGATCCCAAATTTATAGGTTGCAACTTTTAAAAGTAGTACTTCTAATAAACTTGGTCATCCCTTTAGAGCGCCAATTTAAATTTTTAATTGGAGAACCTGATAGAAATGTCTTGGAAAAAATATCCTACGTTCAGTTTATGCTTCTATATTTCTAACAGAAAATAAGTTATTTTAACGTTAATCTATTCACACAAAAACAAAAATTAAATTTCATTTTTAAGAAATAAAATATTGAAATTAACATTTTCTATTTACGTAAACGATATCGTACTGAATAAAGCTTACATTAATGTCGTCGGTAATTTTGTTAGCTCTGGGAAAAGTACCACAGCAATATTAAATGGTAATTCACCATAAGCCGCACTAGAATGACAGTTTTGAGACTGATTTAATTCAGAACTTTTTGTATCTTGATCAATTTCAACCTGTTCAAAAACATTCTAGAAGTAAGAGGAAATAAATAGTTTAACTTAAGACTATTTATTGATAACCTTTGAAATGGTGAATGAAATTAAAATTGATGTAAAAATACAAGATTACTAGCCAAGAAACACTACCATAGTTCCAAACATAATACCAACTAAAGAATTATTGGATGATTTTTAAATTAAGATTTCTTATGCATCGCCATTATAGGGAAGTGTGTGAGCCCCCAAATGCCCTGCTAAGGCCGAGAATGGGGAGAGTCACCTCTCCCTCTCGAAATGCTCTCACATGGCCACGCGAATGTATAGCCTCTGCCATGGAAGTCCTGCTCACTGCCTCCTCGTGGCGGGGGTGTTGTTCACAAAAGTGAAAGGACGAAAAGCAAATGCCCGGCGCTTTAACCGGGTTGGTGGACACGGAAAGTTCACCTAGGGGAGTTGGAAAACCCTGATTCCAAACCAATGGTGTACATGGCTCCAGTATCCTGAGGGAACAAATGGCGTATGAACCAATTGTCGGTCACCGGCTACCATGGGACTGCATTTCCTTACGATGCTCCATTGCCTTATGGACTACACTTTTAGGTCAAAGGCTTGGGGTGTGGCCCCCTAAGAAAACCACCTGCTTCAGTCTGGGCACCTGGGTAGTATCACAGCCCTCACAGAAATTAAATTAGATTTGTGAGGCGCATATGTATCTGGTGCCTCCTTGTACCAATATTTATGTGTTTAAATAAATAAATAAGTGTGTGAACTCTCTCCACACTAATTCCACTAGTTACACGCTTGTTGATACTTTATTGTATTCGAATAACGACCCTGTAACTTCATTATGTAAGAATAGACAGCACTCTCTATAGTTGATTTACTTTATGAGAATAACTAAACCGATATAGAAAATTCAAAAAGTGCATATAATGACTGAGTTGCATAAATTAGTTTATTATGATTTGCATGACCTCCCTGACCTGTATAACTCAATTTGTATGCATTCTTAGATAAACTTAGTAATTGCCAATAAATATGAAATAATGATTCATATGTGACACAACTGATTGTCAACCCATTAAAATCAGTAAAAATTAAAGAGTCACTACTGTACCGTACATGGTGACCTGAAGGTTCAAACTTTGTGTGAGAAAGAAAAAACTGATTGATTCAATATTCCGCCCAAATACCACGCATTTTCATAAGCACTGAATTATTGTTGAATACAGAACAGCCATGTGAACTATGTTTATCGTGATGTTATATCCCAACTATTCAAACAACAGTGCCTCAGTGTAGTTAGATAATGTCTGATACATTTATTAAAATAAACATTTTAATTACAAATGTATACCAATCATACGACTGTAAAATCAGTAATACTTGGCTGTTACACTATACTGTATTATCATCAAAGAATATGTCCTGATAAGATGATCATTCAGATGATTTAATTTACAATAAACAATCGAACCTACAAAGTTTGAGTCTCGTGGATGGAGATTGATGATGGATCAATTTTCAAAATTTACTCTATTTTCAACATGCAAAGGCAACCATACAATGCTTATAGTAGCGTGTAATTTCTCGGCATAATTGACTTTAAGTACGATCTTGCTTGGCACCTGAATACCTTAAGCACAATATTTTAATACTACTAATAAAACAAGACAGTTAACTTAACGGTTAAGAATTATCTGTAGAGTTAACAAATTTTTGCTTGGTAAAATATCACCTTAATAAAAGTGATTAACATTTACCACTGATGAAAAATTAGCCTTTTCATCATTCTTCAATAATGAGCAGCTAGATGAGAATTTGGTTTGGGTTTTGAAGAATTTAAATTGGTTGAATATTGCACAATGAAAATAAAGATAAGTCACAATAATTTTTCGAAACTGTATACACTCACAGCTAATAATATTTATTTGTAAGCTAACATATTAGCAGAGAAAGCTAGAAATTATTGAGTACTGAACACAGGAGTGGTTAAAGGTATTTAATGTTTGGAGGAAAAGGCTATCCAAAAGATGATGGAATCCCTAAACAATACTTTCTGTCCTAAGCATCTTTCAGATAATTATGAGTATTTTTCAATCCGACTAAGATTTAAATATACATTCTCTTATTCATCTGCTATTTCACTTACATGAGTTGAAGAATTTTCATTATAGGGTTGTGGATGCTGAATCAGTGGTCTAGAGGTTAAGCGTTCACCCATGATATCAAAGGTCCTGGGTTTGAGATTGTAGATGCGCACTGGCGAAGTCCCATACTAGAACGAAATGACCATCCAGTGCTACCAAGTTCTTAATGTTAGTCTAACTTACATCGTTTCATAAGTTCAGTGGTTTAGTGAAGCTTGTAAGCCACTTATACCATGAAGCATATATCTTCTCTCTTTGAATAAATCACGATTAAACAAGATGCAGACGAAGCGGTAAAACTGAAGGCAAAACAACAACTATAATTAGCATATATTACACACAAGAACATACATAATGTGGTGTATCTCTTTGCCAACCAATAAGACTATTGTAATCATAAAATGATTCTTGATAATCTAGAAACTGGTTTTAATCTGTCAAAATATAAATGAGAATAATATAATACTATTCTGAATGTATTTTATACATCAAATTTGAAATATTACTTACAGTATCAATAAGTTTAGAGAATATTTTGACTTGTGGTTGATTTGAAGGCTTTTCTAGATCAAAATTAACAAAAGAATGTTTTCATAAGCCATTGGGATTAATTAGTAGTGATTAAGTGGATGATTACATCTTGCGCTTCGAGTTAAATTCATTATACGACAGGAACCAAGTCACTATTGCTAGGAAGAATGAATCGAGGTTAGGACTCGTGATCTAGTAGTTAAACGTAGAATGAATAAACCGGTGCCTTACAGCTCCAGTTAGAAACAATAGACATAAATTTACCACTAATGTTTTGATTAAGTTTTCTAATAGGGTAACAAAAATGATGACTATCGGACAGATAGATAATGTTGCAAGCACAAAAATGAAGTTTTCTTACGTTAAAAAGAAGGCTGATGAATAATAGACTTACAAAGTCCAACTTCAACATTATCAAAATGCTGTTCTACGTCGTGAGCCTCTGAAATACAAAACTATAGCCTATTAACTAAAGATCTTATGGATAACATGGAAATAAATCTATCAGCTGGGATTTCCAAACAGACGTAGTTCACTTGGATTGATACAAAATAAAAGCAGGATAATTAGCATGATGCGAAAAGAATAGTTATTGACTTCTTGATCATAAAAAAGCATACAATACAATCAATTAACAGATTATCTTTAGATTGAGAACTAAACACACACAAATAGTCGAAATAGAAACGATTCAGTCGATAAACTGTATAAGATATAAAGAAAACTAAAACTAATATATATATATATCGCTTCCAGCAAGGTAATCGAAGGTTTTAGCTTCGATCCGATCATAGATACACAATAGCACGATAATAGGATGAACCAAATGTTTCATACTTCTTAGCTTTCAACAGTTCTCGAACTGATTACAATTCACAGGGAAAACTACTTCATGTCTGAAATCACTTCAATGTGGTTGGTTGGTTACATCGTGAGCGAAGTAAATGTTGGTCATCTACAAAAGTATTTATAACAGCGAGTTTATGAGCTTTAAAATTGGAAAAGAGTTAGGGGCGATCAAACCGAAACGTGACATCAGTGCTTGGAGTCAGTAACTTCTAGTCTGAGCCATGTTGGCAGATGCAGACTACCTGGTTGGGGTCCATGTGACTATCGTAACCAATGGTTGGGAACTCTAGGTGACATGGCTCAGAATCAATCACAATGGCGTCGGTGTATACACTGTTTATTTTCCCTTAAACCTTAAAATTAAAATTGCTTCATAACGTTCTCCCTTCCTATACTATATCCTTATATACAACCTTTCTTTTATATACTACCACCACTAAATTAACTATTTCTATGAATCCGGTGTTCATCATGTTGTGCTAACGAGATATGGCAACTTGGACTGATGCATATGTGTGCCCGGTCCTACGTTGTAGCTGACTGATTGATGAGTTTTATTATGAAGAATATATGAGCAACAAAATTACAAATTGAAAATAGATTACTAGTGACAAATTAAAAATCATCCATTTCTGAACAACGCAGTTTAACTAGTTGGGTTTTCGAAATATTGGATACGGGAATATTTCAGAAACAGCCTTGAAAAAACTTACGTTGACTGGAAGTTTCGCTAAAAGGTTCACCATAAGACAAAAAGAATGCCCACTGATCTTCATCTTTGACGAGACAACTGAAAAAAGCATAAACAAACTCTCCTTAGTTCACAAAGCAAAAACTATAAAGCAAACGTTTAGTCTAATGGAAATTGATTAGATTGACGGAGATAATTGTCAGAGTCAAAATTATGTGTATCACTTTAATTTCGTGATATATGAGCACTAAAAACTGAATACCTGATAAATTGGCCTTACCCCCATTTTCTTGACGTAAGACAAGGTAGTAGATAAATGAACTGGAAAACACAAGATTTTAATTAGGTTTTATTTGTATCGGGATATCATGGATGCATACATTTAGACTATAAGGTTTCAATTGAACCATCCCAGAAATAGAAGATGGTATTTACTAGTATACTGGTTATTGAAAAGACACTGTCTAGTAGTAATTGAGATCACACATCATGTTTGATGTGATTATAATCTCAATAGACTTTAATATTTCCTAATGTAAGTGTTCATGAAACTAATGATAATTGTTGTGATGGGTGGTGTTCGAAATGTGATACTGATACACAACGTGCTATATGCTAACCACCCAACCGACAACTTGAGTGAGAGCATAAGAGTGGGCGAGAATATACATCGGGTCACCAGATAAAATTCACAAATACTCATTTATAAATATACAACTCTGCCCCTTAGGAAATCAATCCCTTTCTTAGCCAATGAAATCGACTTGTCCTTCAGGTCAATTCTGATTGTCATCAACTGACTTTTTCAGTTGGCTACTTCTGATTGGTTTGTCATATCAATAACAATGTTAATATTATAGTTATAATGGTAAATATTGAGCAGAAACACTAGCAATTCTTTTAAACATGAGAATTTTTCATCTCATTTTAAAATATATAATTGTTGAATACAGAAGCTAACACAAAAGTAAGTCTAATTAAAATTTAAGCATAACTTACTGTGCATGAGTCAAATGAAGAGGAGCACAAGGTAACTTGGAATAACTCAAACAATTTTCTGCACAAAATACTTATTGATTGATTTCTGTATACAACATACCCGGTAACTTTTCTTCTGACTTTGATCTGTATATATTAAGATATCCTTTTTCTCCTTCCTTAAATATAATAAACATTAGGTCAAACTAAATGCTACCTTTACAAAGCCAATAGCAACGAAGTATTCGTCAGTTATTTCATCATGTAATGCATTAATGCAAACTATGTCTGAATCACCTAAACATTTACACACAAATAATCACCATAATTTCTACGAAACCTGGTAAATAGGCAAAATCAATAGTTTTAGTTAGTGGCTGAATAATTTTGTCTTCTACATCGAAATGGTGTATACTAAAGGAATACTTGCTGGCTAGTGGATCGCTTACTAGGCTAAAATAAAGAAATCAGAGTGCGAATACTCACCTGGGCGGAAAAATGCGACCAGTATGTCGTACGTTTTTCGATTAGTTTTTGATCTTTTTGCAGCATCAGACTTCAAAAACGTTAAGTTGAAAACATTTGACTGAGCCAACGATGGAAAGTGGAATAATTCTACATATGTCTGTAGACCTAATGAGTTCATAGGTCCTGTGGACAGTTATCGATCAAACCACTAGAAGTAAACGAAATCAGAGTTGTAAGCTTTTTCGAGGAGAGACGTACTACTGAAATATACATATAAAACTACAGAGAATGGTAAACCATTGACTGTTATTTGCTCGAGCAACCAAGAATAAATCAACCAAATACTTCTATAGCAGAGGTGGGTTTATTAGTAAGAAAATGAGTTACAAAATTTTAATAAACCTAGGCTATTAACCACCAACAAAGATGGTTATTTGTGAATTACGTTTCCCATGCATTATGTCTTTCAGGAAATAAGACTATCTTGATTGATACCAATCATATTAATGTACGCCAATTTACCGATGTCATAAGTGACATTTGGGACATCACGTCAGATGTTTTGCCGAATACAGACAGTAGTTGAAGCACATGCCTTTTAATCACAGTTGCAAACTGGAACTCCGCTCTTTAAACTTTGATTAGTCAAGCCGCTTAGTATTATGAACCCATTGTATGACCTAAAATTGATTACTCGAACACGTAAATGAATAACAGTTTCCATTAAAAAGATAATTTATTTAAAATAATCAGGAACAGTTCACATACCTACTGACTAAACCTTATATTGATTCCCCTAAACAAGAAATACTAGTATTGTTTTAAAGGGTTTGGTTTAGTTCACAGTAGTTTCCAAATAATTACAGCATAAGGGTGGAGCTACATAATTTTAGCATTACGGTTCTACAGAAATTGGATAGGCAATATGAATCAAATCTGAGCCCTAAACGTTAATAGTTTATAATAACTGGGTGCGTATTTTTCTTGTCGATCAGTTCAAGCGACGCTAACACCAATGTGTCTTCTACATTATTGAGCACGAATCAATGGTCATTCCTGTTTTATTGATACAATGAATTTTTCCCGAATAACTGTGGTTTATTTGAACGTCTACGCAGGACTGAGGATGTCCAAATATAAATTTATTGAGATTCGCTTGATAACAATTCTTAAATTTGAAATTATCTGAACGCCCACTAAAACATATTTGAAATGTGCAAATGCAGCAAATGCGAAATCCTAGGATCGATTAATAAACTGCTGGGTCAAAACCAAATATAAGACCAAATCTTATATGACGATACAAAAAATATCCTTGAAAGTTACAGTACTCCGGAGACCATATTTTGACAAGTGAATAAGTTTAGATAGTTTCCAACAATAATAAGACTTCATTATGATCTAGGTGGATGGTCAATGTGACTGTCAAACATACAGACCATGGTCGAATAAACTGTTTCACTTAAGGAATATCAAAATAATCCAGACTACCTTATTCTTAAAACAGGTGCTCGTGTTGGCGATAGCTGTAGAAGGACCAATGTCAAAATTTGAAATAACTTTCGCAACTGTCACAACAAAAGGTTTGAGAAGTGTGATAAGAAAATAGCAGCTGAAATTGAGAATATATCGGGCTAACAAACAGTTTTAAGGTGCATATCCACAGTGCTAGAGCTGCCAGGTACCACAGTAACATTCAAGTGCAAAACCAACTTATTTGTAAATAATGGACAACAGTTGGTGACGGAAAGTTTAGCTTCTATACGCAGAACCAAGTTCTATCGCCACATTATAAAAAGGAATATTGAAGGAAAAATAAAGGTCAGCAATTGGGTAATAAAGCAGACGGAAGTGTAAATAAAGGAAGAAAGTCTATTTTTGCCACTGACATCGGCTATTTAGAGTACACGTCAACTTGGCACTTACATAACAATCGATGTTCTAGCATCTGCCAACTAATCATAACCTTATTTTATTTTATTTATTTAAACACATAAATATTGGTACAAGGAAGCACCAGATACATATGCGCCTCACAAATCTCATTCGATTTGTGTGAGGGCTGTGATACTGATCAGGTGCCCAGACTGAAGCAGGTGGTTTCCTTAGGGGGCCACACCCGGAGCCTTTGACCTGAATGTCTGATCCACAAGGCAGTGGAGCATCGTAAAAAGATGCAGTCCCATGGTAGCCGGTGATCAACGGTTGATTCCTACGCCATTTGTTCCCTCAGGATACTGGAGCCCATGTGAACCACTGGTTTGGAACCAGGGTTTTCCAACTCCCCTAGGTGAACTTTCTATGTCCACCAACCCGGTTAAAGCACTGGACATTTGCTTTTCGTCCTCTCACTTTTGTGAACAACACCCCCGCCACGAGGAGGCAGTGAGTAGGACATCCCTGTCAGAGGCTATATATTCGCTGGCCATGTGAGAGCATTTCGAGAGGGAGAGGTGACTCTCCCCACAATTGAGTAAAAGGAGGAAATCTGCACAACTTCCCCCTAAGAAACAAAAAGGCAGACGTCTTGACGCGTTTCCCCATTATTTCCTACGTACTTTCCCTTTTGTAGGCCTTTATTTCCCCTTTATAAGATTACAATCCTAGTTCGACCGTGATAGGTCAAAATCTCCGGAATCTTCTAAAGAACTGCTCAAATTTTGCCTATGAACAAAGGCTTTGAGAAGCTCCAAAACCAATTGAAGAATATGTTTGAACGGTTACGTGCCGAATAATCGTTAATTGTTAGATACAAACAAAACAAAATTCAGTTCGAAATCCTGACATTAACTACTATTATCGAGTCACATTACTGCTCCACGATAATGTCAGTACGTAAAGTTGCGGTCGACCTCCGGAGAATTTTTCGTCATAAACCATCAGTGAAAACTTTACAGTAGCGTTACACTTGCTTGACGCGGCTACCAAGAAACAATTATCTTCGTCACTTAATAACAAACTGTGTTTTTTTGTGCTTCCTCCCAAAATAAATTGTTAGATCCATTATTCTGACTATTTACTGACATCTTTCTTTGTATAAAGTTTTCTCGGACGTTGAAAGAGTGTATGGGCGCTGTGACCATAGTAATAAGGTGAACTGTCCAAAAGGCCTTAATTTTGCAGCAAAACTGACCTATACCTCTCAATGAGGCCGAATAAACAAGTCTTGTTATCTTTACTTCATTATTCTTCCATGGAAAACGAAGTATGGAAATACGTCAATATTAACCGTGATAATTAAACCGTGGTTAGTACATTCAGAAAGTCATTTTTGGGCTGAGCATATGAATGCGGATAAACACTGCTGCCGAATATCTTGTCGTATTATCTCGTCTATGACCAAACAGTGTTGTTTACATAATTGTAAACATTGTTCAGGGGGCAAGGACAGTTGCTGGTCGTTCAAACATAACACAATACGCTGTTCATCTATAAGAAAGTCTGATCCTATGAAATGGATCGATTCAGTATTGTTGGTTGTCGATACTGTTAACAAGTTTTCTAACATTTAAAATTTCATAGAAACTACCAACGAGGTAAAAGTAGTAGAACCGAATTTAATCTAAGGACTATCAATTCTGATGTCTGTAGGATGTGAACTCTAAAGTCTTGAATACGAAAGTACTGACATCAGAGAGACCACAGAAAATCAACGTCAAGACAGTGTAATAATTTTAATTGGGGACGCCATCGTATACTCACTGGGTAAAAGCAAAGCCTTTCGATAACATGATGTGAACTACTGGTCACATATCAACACAATTACGAAATCACTGTGTGGACATGGCTAAACATCAGGTGAACGCGAACGACTCCCAAGATGCATGATAAATTGACTGTCACCTAAAAAGAGACAGCAAGCATGCAACTTATAGACCAACCACTCAGATATATGATGCCACGTCTTGGATTTTTTGCGCGAACATTGGTCATACATTTATCTAAATGGCTTTAGCTGAAATCAGTTCGTGATGATGACCTCAATTATATTTTCTTACCACAACTATCAACTGCAAATCACGTTTCTAATTCTCCACACTGGTTTATAACTCTTGTTTATCTGTTAGGTGACATTCTCAAAATCACTTTATCATTGTTCAAAGGTCGTCCAAAAATTATAGTTCCACCATGAAATTCTTGGTAATCTCACAACTATAACATAAGAAAAAAGCTTCAAAAGCAGTTCAAAAAGTTCAGCTTCGCTTAGTATTCGTCTCTTTTCGTAATTTACTTGGTTGAGTACATTCGCTATTTCTCATCCCTTTCGTGTGTGTGCTGTTTGATTGATTTGAGCAACGACTTCATTTCATCTTATGGAAATTGTAAACAATTTCGAGTTGCAACACTAATGGTTCTCAGGGCGATTGACACATGAGTTATAATAACATCTATTATGCAGTACATACAGCATCTGCCACCAATTATAACAGTCGATGAGGAATATGGAGGCAGTTCATCCAAAATGCGTGTTATACTATTGAGCAAGAAATTGAATGTTTTTGCAGTACAGAGAGTTATTATGAGAGCTAGTGTGGTGTCAGTTATCAAGGGTTGATTTCACTACGTCATTTTAATGTCATACGTGGACCTTTTTCACAGCCTTAAAGAGAACAACTCTATTTATCTTAGAAGGATAATGTCGGGTAGTTTCTTGAGGTCGATATGAGATGCTTTCGGTCTTCATGCGCCGAAGCAGACTTTTTAAATGGCGGGAGGCCTTTGACGGCATTGGCTATCATACTACCTTACTTCGTCCTCTTGGGCCTTATCCCCAAAGTTTTCAGTAAATATCGTTCGAAATGATCTATCTAACTTGAGTAATACCCATGGAAATGAGGTGTGGTCTACTTATATCCATATCAGTAGTATATGGTGTTGGTCCGACATAGAATGTATTTTCGCAGAAGACCGATGACGAAAGAACTGAAATGAAGCGCAATCGTTTGGAAAATGCATGAGCAATGGAATTATAAAAGAAACAGTGAAAATTGAAACAATTGATTGTTAATTTGCTAAATTGACTGTTCATTGTTTGATTATCAGAATTTACTGAGATAGTCTGTAATCTTTGCTTAAATACATTCGATTGTCCCCAGTCGTGCTCTGTTCACTACAGAAACACCAACTTTCACCAGGCTTTGGGGTGAAAAATTAATTATTATTCAAGGAACAAGTATG